ATATATATATATATATATACACACAGAAAGGGGAATATATTGAGAAAAATGACTGGCTTGCTAATTTAAAAGGGTAGGAAAATTTTTGATTCAGACTTGTTTGTTGTTTTAAGCTGCAATCGCCTTATATGAATAAATTTTTTTCACACTTTCAGATTAGTTTAAAAAGCGAAATTAGTTGAGGTGCTACAGAGACAGAAATTTAATTATTACTCTTAATTACAGAAATAATTAAAAATCAGTGTACAGTGAAATTAGGAAATAACTCTGCCTCCGTCAAACACTTTCTGCTACGAAGAATTTTTAAATTTCCGAAACTGAGACTTTTGTTTGAAAATTTAACCTAATTCAATCATTCGCTTTAGTCTTGTGGGGGGTTTTTTTGTTTTTTTTTTCTCCCTCAACGTTATTCACTAAACTGGATAATTGCAGTGAATAAAAAGCAGGCTGGCCGGGACCCAAGCCCGAGATCAGCCCATGGATCCAGAGAGCGATGGAAAGTTCTGGACGAACGGTCAGCCGAACCGACCGAGGAGCGACCGAGTCCGTTTACCGATTCACACGGAGTCTCAGCTCCATATATGTATTTTTTTTAACACACGCTCACACATAACCAAAGGAAACAGGACTCTGAGAACGAGCCAACAGAGGCTGAGCGCGGCCTCCACGTGTCTCTACGTAAAGGACATATGGAGCACTGCTCTTCACAGCACATTCACGGGGGACGAAAAACCAAAAAAAAGCACCTTCCGCAGAGCTGATTTCTGTTTTCTTCTTCTCTTGTTTTAACCAGGGAACACGAGGAGCTTTGTGTGGGGAAAAGGAAAAAAAAGCCTCCAATCTTTTTTTCATTATGTAACCACAGACCTGATAATGGTATCTCTATTTGAAGCTCAGGATATTGGGCAACGGCGATAAGACGCGTTTGATGGATTGGCGTGACGCAAGAAGGCGCTAAGTCTATCGGTCTCGCTGTCCGCTTCCAAGTCCCCTCCCTTTGTTTGTCTCTTTTAAAAAGAGATTCCCTTGGTCATTTGTAATGTCGGCACCACGCACAAAGACACCCCGACGGGTAAATGAGCGTGCGGAGAGACGGCGCGCACGGCTGGCTTTCGGACCTGGCCCGGGCAACCCACGCGGCCCGTCTGTCTCCAGCGCCGAGAGCAAACATGGAGGTTCTCAGAAACAGCTTTTCATCCTCGCAGCCCCCCAAGTAATGAAAGCCGCATGAGGCGGACCGCGCTCCAAACATGACTAATGCTGGAACCGTGCGGCTTTATCAGTACAGACAAATACGGAGCGAAGGGAGGGGGGGACCCAAGGCAACATGATGTCAGACTTGATCCTCTGTACGTCTCCACAAACTTGAATTATTGGGAGATTCAGTGACATAAAACAGACCTGACGCTAATTTGCAACGAGCTCTACAGAGGTTTAAGAGCTAACGTTTCACATCATGTCTGTGAGAAAACACAGAGTAGTAGTGCAGGTCTGTCTCCCCAAACGCCCTTGCTGCACACTGCTGGTCAGGAGACTTCAATTGAAAATGGCTTGCAGAAAATAAATCGTCAATTCGGTTCAGTTTATTTCTATGGCACTACTTTAAAACAAATGTCGTCTCAAGGTACTTTACAAAAAACAATTTTATTGCAATTTAATCACAGATACATGCCAATTAATACTAGTTATCAAACAGTGCAATGAGTTCAGCCAATTCTTCAAAGTAAGTTCAAACGTCTTCAAGGAAACCAACCAGACTGCGTTGAGGCTGCAGCTGCGTTTCCATTCACCTAATAATTGGACAGTTTGACAAAATAAATTTGCTCAATGGAAACATGCCAATTTTGACCTTGTTCACGTGACTTTGATGGTGTTTTTTATATAATGGAAACTCGACATTTGCAAAATTGACTTTGTTTGACATTAGCGTTTTGTCATTGAAGCAAGAACTTAGCAACAGCAGACAATCGCTGGCATTGCATTGACTGAGAATGCATGTAGTGATAAATAAACCTCTATCAGGAAGAAACCTGCATGGTGGTGTGGAAAAACACTCGCTTTAATTCAAGTAACGCTGCATAAAGAGCATAACAAAAACAAGAATATTCATAAACGATGAGAATGTTTATGCTATGGGAATTAGAACGGTGACGATACACCATAGCCAGAGTGAAACTGTTTATAAGGACTGCGTCAATAAACTGGAGGAAATTAGCTTCGCTTTGTGTGATCGAATGATTCATACATGAGAAACCAACATTATCTACCAATTTTATCTAGATCCACAATATCATCCACATCCCTTTTGCTCTGCTGTGGTAGAGTGCTGACCCACTGTTACTAATTTATCAACTTTGTCGCTATGCTTAGTAACTTTTCAGTAAAAAAAAAAAAAAAAAAAAGAATCATTATTGGCCAGAACTGGAATCGGCAGGTAATGGTTTTTAAATATTGGTGTTTCAAAACCTGCAATCGGTGCATCCCCAGTACTTATTTTCTGTTTCAGCTCATTTCGATCACGGTACAAGTTTTTGTTCTAAATCTTTATAGAGAATCGCGATATTGTGGTGTGTCCAGTGAAAGCTCTCATCCTGCATAAATCTCATATAAGCCTGAGCCTCCGAGAAGGCGTTGAAATCTGTAACTGCACCAAGCAGAGACGCATCGTATGGGCACAGGGCAGGAGAGGAAGTGTGTCTTCTGATCTGTAAGTCAAATCCTGACCTCTCATCGGTGGCGACAGTGACTTCAGCGGGTGGAAAAAAAACAAACAGAGCACAGGAGCAGAGCGGCAGGTGAGGCGGCTGCGGTCCAATCGTTGGGCCCATGGTAACTGACAGCTTCCGCCAAACACAGTCAGACACCCAGGAATGGAGAGCTAAGAATAAAGCTGTACCACTGCCACCCAAAAGGTCAGAGTGGAGCCACTGTCTGCCCCGTCCTCTTTAAACTCTGTTTAACCCGCGGAGTCTCTGAGACTCTGCGGCTCGCCAAGTCCCGACGTACACCCTGCTCTCTGGTACCGTGTTGAGGTCCGGCCGTACGCGCAAATACGCTTCGCGATTGAAGTTTCAAACCCGGAGAAGACATTTGCGAGACGTTTTATTTATTTTCCGAAGAAGTAACAATGTGAAGAGAGCTGGCGTGTTTGTTGGGAGTCCGTGGATACTGGCACAGACCAGACAGAGAGGAGGGGGTGGGAATTAAGAAAAGAAAAAGGCTTTCCTCGAAAGAGGCACCAGGCTGCGCTCGGTACTGATCTGAGCGCCGCTTCGCCACGGTGCATTTGTGGAACAGGAAGAGACGCTTTAGAAAGGCAGCGCGAACTCAAACGGAGTTGCGCGCCGGCCTGAAAGGAGCCTGGGGTTGGAGGGAGCGCCCCACCTCCCCGCCTGCCGGGGGGGAAGAATGAAAACCTCCCGGCGTCTATAAAAGCAGCGCCGCGACGTTGAGGATTCACACCTGACCTTCTGCTCGACAGCTGGAGCGACGCTAGAGTGGAGCGATGACTGCAGCGGAGGAGCTGCTCCTGTACGTGCCAGCCAACATGTCGACAGTTGGATACTTTTCCTTCTGATTTCAGAGAAAGCCGGTTCAGAACAGTGGTGGGCGATATGGACTTAGAATTTCATCACAATATTTTGGGATAACAATAAAATAAATAAAAAGATGACTTCTTAATATCGTTTGGGGCGACTGTGTGGCTGTCTGTGTCCACAAGCACAGATTCTGCTCTTGAAAAATATTCAAATTTACAGATATGTATTGTTGAGAAAAAAAATATACATATTTCTGAATTTATTTATTTTTTTTACATTAGTTGAAATTTATCAAGACAACAGAGAATCACAATTCCAATCACATTGAGAAATTTTTCCTGATAAATGTCAAATGATACAATAATTTCCCACTCCTAGTACAGTTATTTGGAAAAACAAAGCAGCTCAGTTGAGATATAATAATTTTAATAATTAATTAATCCTGATACCTCCTGTATTTGTAATTTATTTTTTTTTTTACACATGCAAATTCAATTGTTTTTTTTTCAATCTTATTTTATGACTTTCTAGTTTTGCTTTACAATTTTAGTTTAGTTTTGAAGTGTGAATAAAAAAAAATCACAACAAAACAAAACAAAAAAAGGCATTAAAATAAAAAATATGAACCGTGATGCGGTTGCCATTTAAATTATTTCATGCTGTTGAAAATAAAATAAGTCTGGAAAAATAAAAATGCGTCAACAACGATCCGGAGAGCAGCGAGCGGAGCATCCGGGTGTTTGCGCGTGGAGTGCAAGTGGTGCGCAAATGTGTGTATGTGTGTGTGTTTATGCAGAGAGTGCCGATAGGCTGAGGCGGTCGGGGATGGGGTCGGGCCGCTGCAGACTGGCTGCATCCTAAACTACCTGGGTCTGGGCCAGCTGTCACTACGCTCTCCAGACCACCACACATACACACACACACACACACGCTCGCGCACAAGCAAACACCATTCTCCCATTCGAGGGGATTACAGACACATGACAAACTGCCTCTCGCGAGCGCGCACGCGGAACCGCGCGCGCGCTCGCCGGGGATAAGCCCGCTTGCAGATGCTCTTGTTTACCGACGGCGCCGCAAAACATGCACGTTTGGATTTAGTTAAATTTGCACACAAATGCTTCTACAAATGTACCAACGCAAACATCTCTTAGCAAACAGATTTTAAGCCCGGACTTTCAAAATTGTCGGAAATGTTTTAAAGCAAAAAGAAACAACTATCAGCAAAGAAGACGTTTGTCTTTTTTATTTTTTTTGCTAACATTTTCTTGCGGCGTGGGGAACTGTATTTCGCACACTGTCCCTTTAAATATTTAAATGTGGCATTTGTCTTGGCATCGAGACCATTTGGCACAGATTCCAGAGTGGGAGGCTAAATCCGAACCTGACCTCTGCGTCTGCTAAGGGTGCTCTGGACTAAAATAAACCCCCCTGGCTCTGTAACATATCGGTAACACATACCTGGTGTGTGGACGAAGTAGGCCAGGTAGAGATCCAGCTCCTTCACCGTCACCCCAATGTGGTGAGGCTGGACGCACAGGCCGTGGTTGGAGCACTGGGGCGACTTGACGAGCCGCTCCCCATCCGTGCTCTCCAGGGGGCTGCCCTTGAACAGGATGACCATCACCAGGTCCAGCCGCCACACCTTGTCGGCCTGGCGGAGGCAGTCGATGCGGCGGATCTTCCCCTTCTGGTCGGGGTTGGACAGCACGCAGCAGGGGGGCTTTTTGCCCGTGATGGTGAGCACGAAGTCCTCGCGGAACTCCGGCCGGATGTCCTTACGGAGCTTGGCCAGCAGGCGCGAGGCCCACTTCTGCTTGATCTCCGGTTTCTCGCCCAGCAGCTCGTCCTTCACGGCGCGCTCCTCGTCCTTGCTCATCCTCTTCTCGTGCTTCTTGAAGTACTTGCGCTTGCGGGCCTGCAGGTTGAACCAGGTGTAGGAGAAGGCACGGACATGGGGCAGGAGGGCCTCGATGAAGGGGTGAAATTCATCCTGAGGACAGAACGGGAAAAATGTCAGGAACGGAACAGAACTAAACATCTTTTATTCCGAAATTATGAAAATATGTTTCAGATAGGAGCCTAATACATTTTACACGTTGACATTGTCCAGTTTTCAGTAACTGTTCAATTCTATTCAGTTTTGGTAACAAAACCCGTTGAACTTAACTGGAAACGTTTGCTAATTCAAGCGTTGTGATTTTGTCGTTCCCTGTGTGAGAATATTTTGGCTAATAAAGTGTAAAAACTCTGTGAGATTTAATAACTGTTACAAGATCTTTGTTTGGTTTCTATAGTTTGTAGCAATGACCACATTTGTTCCCTAAACTACTTTAGCAATAGCGCTAATGCTGAAGTCAAGCTTGGTAGCTAACGCTAAGGCAGAGGTAGTTAACAAACGACATGTTAACGATGGTTATGAGAGTAAAGTCTCATTGTTTGCAACAAAGCTTTTTTGGGCTGAACGTTTCTATTGGAGCAAGAAGTAAAATTTGAACCCAGATTTAACCACTTTAGCAACAACACTAGTGATAAAGTCAAGCTTGGTAGCTAACACTAAGACACAGATTGCTAGCAAAAGACACATTAGCCATGACTCCAAGAGAAAAGTATCCTTGTTTGTTTAGGAAAGTTTCTATTGTTTAAGCAATAATTACAATTCATATCCAAATTTCACTGCTTTAGCAAAAGCACTAATGCTAAAGTCAAGCTTGCTAGCTAACACTAAGACAGACAAGTAGCTAACGAATGACACATTAGCCATGATTATGAAAGAAAACTCTCCCCGTTTGCTTCTGTACGAGTAATTATATCTTATCACAGTTCAATTCTCCTCTTTGGTTTTGTTTTAGTGCTTTTATTAACCCGACCAGTTTGCTAGCAAGTTGTTTAGCGCTGCAGCTCAACAAGCTAAAACTTAAATTCTCACTAGAAAACAGAAACTTTTTCAGGAACAAGTCCTCAGACCGTCCTTATCGTCTACTGAGCTGATGTAGGTATTCACAGTGCATCCCACAGGCTACCAACATGTTCAACCAGTGGACCCCACACTGCGGGAACGACAACGGCTCAAAACATCATCGGTTGAATCCCCAGTAAATTGTTCAGGCACAATTTGTTACCAAAATGAAGCAGTGCTTGATCTCAAAAATTCACTTTTAGCAAACCGACATGCTTGATTAAAATGAAAACTATTTTATTGGCTAATATTGAATGCTCTCCAAAATCCCTTTTAGTTTAATACAAGCTTCCTAATCTTTAGGCAGTTGCTGCCAAAAAAAAAAAAAAAAGAAAAAGAAACAGCACATAATAGCTTTGGCTATCAAGGAAAAGATGCAACCTTGTTAGAATTAATGAAAAATGACTTTTTACTTTTTCAGCAATAATTTCATGCTTTACTCGCAAAAAAAAAAAAAAAAAAAAAAAAAAAATATATATATATAATATATATATATATATATATATATATATATATATATATATACGCATCATTTTTCTTTCTATTAACATGAGAAGAAACATCATAGTAACAATTTCAGTAATTTAGTCATTTTAGATTGTGATTACAGTTTAACACATTTATTAAGTTGAAAATCAATTACCATCCATCCGAAATAAAATATATGAAATGGCTTATTATAGCAGTCTGTGTACATTCTCAAAATGTAAACAACCATCAAAGTATTACATCTGACACGTCAAAACGTTTGTCTTAATTTTCCTGTCATATAAAACCACGCACACATGCAAACACACAGACACGTGACTCTTAATAAGGTACAATAACGCAACAAATCATCCTGCTCAGCAAAGACAACAGCAAACATTCAACACCAAAAAGGAAAACAAAAACAAAAACGGATAAATCCAAACGCAGGAGAAAAGCTGAGCCAACATACACTCCCGGTCCTCTGCTGTTTGGACAGAGGGGGGAAAAAAAAAGGTGGCACAAGGTATTCTAATACCTTCACTACATATCTCTGGGCAACAAAGCCCAGATCTCGCCACGGCGCTCCCGTGCCAGGGTTGCCACACACCGGCCGCTCACCGCCGCCAAGCTTTGCCGCCACAAGCCCGCTGCTGAAACGCGCCGCTAAAAGCTCAGCCATGGCATTCCCTATCAGCGCTGTACACACACCATGCAGGGCAGGAATAATACAAGGGACAAAAAAAAAAAAAAACTAAAAAAAACAAAACAAGTCAAGGGGAGATCCAACCGGAGTCACATTTCCACAACAAACTGAAAGCAGACACAAACCACCACAGATAACCACATTGCAAGAGAAAGACAGACGGCCTGGTAGTTACCATTTTGCACTCTCATCATAAATTTGGCACAGCGATTAAAGTGGAAAAAAAAAAAAGAAAAGAAAAAAAAACCCTCTTGCACCAGTTATTTATTTATTATCTTTTTCTTTTGCGCTCCCCAATGTAAAGCCAGAACTGGTTTGGCAAAGAGGGTAGAATTAGGAGATGGAGGGAAAAACAACAAAAAACACTTGGAAGCAGATTGTCAACTGAAAAAAAAATAATAATTAGCTGCGTTAAAAAGTTGAGAATAACAATTTTTTTTTTAAATGAGGAAAGTGAATAGTCAGCAGCACATTAAAGAAATATTCAGAAATATAAAGAAAACAGTTCATAAAAATAACAGTTCTGAACTGTTAGAAAAATTTTAAAAACAAATTTTAAAAAAGCACCAAAAAATAAAAACCTTGAGGGGAAAAAAAAAAATCCTTGGCAAAGTGCACACTAATTGGTAGCGGTGTCTGCTCTGATCCCTTGGCCCGCCTCACACACACACACACACTCACAAAAAACACACACTCTCTCTCTCTCTCCTACACACACGCGCAGAATCGAAGAGGAAAAAAAAAAAGGAAAAAAAAAACCCGAGAGCCGAATCAATGTTGGACGAGCGCACAGGACCGCTGGCAAAGCCGAGTGCTGCCTCTCCTTTTTTCTCCTTTTCTCTCCCTCTCTTTCTGGGTCTCGCTGGCCGCCTCTCGTCCTCTCCGCGTTCTCTCCCTAACCATCGCTTGAGCCTCTGCCAGCGCGATGAGAAGGCCCACCTATTTGGCAACGAGATGCCCGCAGCCCAGCCAATGCGTTCGCTTCCAGAGCCGAGAGGGAGGGAGGAGAGAGAGAGAGAGAGAGAGAGAGAGAGAGAGAGAAAGAGAGAGAAGGAGGGAGGAGGTGGGGGGGCAGGTTAGTATGGTAGAGGGGAGCAGGTGAGGGTGTGTGCGAGCCAAGACGACAACTTCCAACCCTGACACTGCGGGAAAGTTCAGGAGAAGAAGCCTAAAAGTCCTCGCGCTCACCCTCCTCCATCTTTACTGCTATCGCTGCTGCGATACCCCCCTCTCTCTCTTTCTGCTTGCATAATGCCACCTTGGCAGAGGATGGCAAAGACAGGACACGCAGCTCCAGAGTCCCTCCAGACCCCACTACCACCACCACCGCCACCACAGCCGGCAGCTGCTCCAAACAAAAGAGGAAGGGAGAGAGAGAGAGAGGAGAGAGAGAGAGAGAGGAGAGAGAGAGAGAGGAGAGAGAGAGAGAGGAAGCCACTCTCGTCTGTCTGTGCAAACAAGAGTGAAGGATGGAGAGGAGAACCTGCTAATGTTTACAAGAGTGAGAGGTGGGCTGCTTAAAGACAGCAAAGCAATCAACTCTAGGACCCAAACGAAATATTGCTTCCTCGAGAAAGGAAGGAAGGGAGGGAGGAAGGAAGGAAGGAGCGATGAGGCCACTTCGAAGGCTGCACCTGCTCCCATGGCAGCCAGAGATGGGCCAAGGCTACATATGGATGGAGGGTGGAGGGGCAATACTTGGTGTGTGTCGGTTTCAACTACCCTCAAACGCCACAAACTCAACAAACACTGGAAGACATTTTGATAAGCATTTCATGACAGTTTATCTGGATATTCCATGGAAATGATGAAGTACATGCAAAACTGACACAGTGATCCCAGTGCATGGATGTTTAATGGTTTGTTTATGTGTAGTGAATGAGAGCTGAGGGTGAAAATCACAGCCAACGGAATATGGGTTTGGTTAGCTTTGTAGCGTAGCATTTTCTTGAATTGCACATATGATGTAAATTGTCATATGTATTTTTTTTTTTATCTTTATCATGGAGCTGCTCCTCAAATATATATATCTATATCTATCTATCTATATATAGATCTATCTATAGATACATCTATAGATAGATAGATACATCTATAGATAGATCTATATAGATAGAGATAGATAGATAGATAGATATAGATAGATAGATAGATAGATAGATAGATAGATAGATAGATAGATAGATAGATAGATAGATAGATAGATAGATAGATAGATAGATAGATAGATAGATAGATAGATAGATAGATAGATAGATAGATAGATAGATAGATAGATAGATAGATAGATAGATAGATAGATAGATAGATAGATAGATAGATAGATAGATAGATAGATAGATAGATAGATAGATAGATAGATAGATAGTGTACTAGGGAAAATCTTAATATTTCGGGTGATTTAATTTACAGTAAAATTGAATTATGAGAGGGAGAAAAATGGGCCAGCGTCCATCTTGGATTTCAGTCTAAGTGGAATTTACTCTGAGGCTACCAGCTAAAGCGTCAGGCGCTAATTTCTTCAGGGTTTTGTAACATTTGGTTTCATATTAAATCATGTGTCACAGGTCTTGTAATCTGCCATCTTTGCGGCTAAAGCAGCTGCTGTTCTTCATGTTCAATACAGATTCCACACCTGGGTCCTGTGACATCTTAGCTAGCTCAGGTTAGCATAAAAATTGCTATTCTGTTAGCTGGGAAACAAGCTGGAGGCAAAAACAAACAAAAATAACAAAAGCAGATGGCAATAGCGCTAACTGGTAAAATACACTCCAAGTCGACATTTGATTAAAATGAATAGTGAAGGTTGAGGATTCTAGGAATGTTGTTCACCGTAATCTATCATTAAATGCTAATGCTG